TTATTGGAGGTGATAGGTATTCTATGGGGTTTGTACCATGACATATAAGGGGTCTACTCCTGAAAAAGAGATTATATTGTTACACAAGCAGGATGCAGGATATTTCACAACTACCTGGCCATAACGCTTCCCAGACAAATCATCCTTAGAAGTATGAGTATATTTTTTAATACAGCCAGGAAATCTTTTGAATCTACCCCAACAGAGACCCTATTTAAGTCCTCCCAGTTTCCCAATGCTGATCATTTGGCAATTGTATGCATGCATACAGCCAGGAAATCTTTTTGATCTACCCCAACAGAGACCCTATTTAAGTCCTCCCAGTTTCCCAATGCTGATCATTTGGCAATGGTAGTATGAATGAAGCAAGTAAAGGCGGTTTTAGCAGTGTCTCGGTCTGCTATACAGCAATAATAACATCATTTTGTCTAACATGACCGATTTGCTTTAACCTCCCTGGCGGTATGATTATTCAGTATTTTAGCATCCCAAAGCGGTACATTGTTTTTCATGGAAATATGTTGTTTTACATTGTAGGCCTGTGATTCTTAGTAAATCTTAGGAATAACTCACCTAAATCTGTCCAAACAAGAGTCCAATAGACATCCCGGGTATGATAACGTTTGAAAAACGAAATCATAAATGATAATATAACAAATAATTAGAAATAATTACACAAAACAATAATATAATAATTAAATTTAATTAAATAATGTATTCAAACAAAAAACACTGACATCTGTCAAAGCAAGGGTGCAATATTACTTCAGTAAACATCTCGGGTATGGTAAACTTTGAAACACGCGACAGCACAAAGTCCGACGTCACAATCGGGACAATGGAACCTGGTCTCTTTTCGGATTTTTTTGCCGCTGTCATCGCGCTTTGAACAACACACCATGCACAGCCTTGTAGGTGCTGACTTTCTCTCTGTTGGTGGGATGTAGTCCATGAAGTGACGACCAGTCAGGCGTTCTGGGTTGACAACGCCAACAGCACGACGTCCAGATCTACTCACTGATGGCGTATGGTGGTTCAAAAAGATTTGTTCGGAGATTTTCCAGATGAAGTCCGCATGCGTCACAGGCTTGTCACTTAGTTTTTTTAGCAGAACGTAGGCATTCCACAAGCACTGCTCAAGAAGATGCCTGAAGATCTTCTTATAATATTTCTTCTGCTGTTTCCGCATTGCTGGATAGAAGCTCATGGCTTGGTCCGCTCTGTCGACACCTCCCATGGTGGTATTGTAGTTTATTACTACTAGCGGCTTCATGACGTCTCTCCCACCTTTCGTGCGTACCATAGCAGTGGAGGCATTATGCACAGTACTCATTAGGCACACGTCTTTTTTGTCGCGCCATCGCAGTGCCATCATTTTGCCTTTCTGCCAGGCAACTGTTTCTCCAGCCTTCAGCTTCTTCTTGCCAAACACTGGCGGCAGGTCACGTCGATTAGCCCTAACGGTTCCATAGGCATCCGTTTTGTGTTGCAAAAGGAACTCATACAGTTCTGGAGATGTGTAAAAGTTGTCCGTTGTTACATAATATCCCTGATTCAGCAATGGCTCAATGAGTGAGACAACGGATGATGTTGCCATTCCATAGCTTTTCCAGTGTACATCACTGAGTTCCAAATATAGCCAGATGACGATTCGCATAGCATATAGGTTTTGACGCCAAATCGTGCTCTCTTTGATGCTGAGCCTTCCCTTGTAGGCCATTAGCCTTTCGTCTATGGTGATGTCTCTTTCTGGCACATAGGTTTGTTGGAAATTTCTCACAATCATCTGGGATACCTTCCAAATTTTTTTCAGTTTTGGGGCGGGATGAGTGGCTTCATCGAATTCCTCATTGTCCGCGAAGTGTAAAAACTTCATGATGAGGGTAAACCTATACTCCTACATGGCCGTGGCAAAGAATGGAGTGGCAAGTATTTTATTGGTTGTTCAATACCACTTGTGCAGAGGTTTCCCCACCACTCCCTAAAGAATTATTAGGCCCAGAAACTTCCAGATGTCATCTCTGGTCACATAATATCTGTTTCTGTTTCGGGAAAACTTCCGATGCATTGTTGCTGATTGTTGTTCATTGTACCGGTTGGTCTCGGTAACAATTTAATCAATAACCTCATCGGTAAGAAATAATTTTAGGTAGGCCAAGGGGTTGTCATGTTCCACATCTACGTCACACCAGATGCTCCAGTAAATGGGAATCTTGGGGACGCTGCGTGACAATCAATAGGGCACCAAGTTCGCACATCACTTAGCTCGGGCGCAGAATCAACACTTTTGTCACTTTCAGTGTCTGACAACGAACTTCCCCACGCATCGCTGTCGCTCAATTCAATAAGTGATTCCACATCACTATCGCTATTTTCAAGCTGCTCAAAAACCGCTTTTAACCTCAACGGACGCTTGTTTGATGCCATGGACGCTCTCAAGTTTTCCAGGCAAATAGAATAGTAAAAGTGCAGGCAGAACACTGGTAATATCTCTAGGGACAAAGCTGAGGTGAAGGAATTTGTTACAGTAACATAATAGCACTGTTTTCAATGTACTACAATGTATTCTGTATGTATTGGGTGCTTTTATGTTCGATCCGCCTCCCTACGACGGTGAAGCTAGCGTAAGCTTGAGACGGATGCCGGCATCGGGCGAAGAAGACGCTGCAGGGAATGTGGGACGAGGAGAGTGTGAATTCAGGGTATTCCCGAGTGTGGCTCGGGGTTACCGCTCCTGGTCAGGAAATTTAACCCCGAGCCACGCTCGGGAATACCTCCAGGGAGGTTAATAAACTTTACAAAAAAAATCCCGAAAATGCAAAGGTGAGCAGCAAAGGTAGAAAGAGTTGTGCTTGTTTGTTACTTTATTCTTCTAATTTGGTTCTAATATACATTTTTTTTAAACTTCTGTTAGAGTTAATGTATTCTGCGTGTCTTATGTTTTTGTTGCATATGTAGCATTATTGAAATAGATATTTACACCCCCTCAACATCTGAGCACCTCCTGTCTGACATATCACAGTCACCTCTTCATAAATACGGATCATTTCTGATTGCATGAGTTAGTTGAGAAATGTAGAACTTTTTTGTAGGTCTTTCTCTACCAAAGATGCAACTGTCAGTGGATCAAGTGATCAGGCTGGACCTCTGCTGTTCTCTCTAATAAGCCGGCACTTCCCTTGTGTTCCCACCCCGCTCCCATCCCCTCACATAAACAAGTACGTTTAACAGTGCCAATCATACAAGTTTGCAGAGCACTGCGGAACATTTTAACTCTCTAAAGTCAGCTTAATCTTGTAATAGATTTTCATCTAAACATTTAACAAAGCGGGCTAACTGCAGTGTTTGACATTTAGATACTAAAGAGAGAATCTACAATTCTGTACATGACACAACCTCATGGAAACACAATCATATGAAAAATCACAAAAAGAAATACATCACTTTCAGCAAACATTATGATATTGTACAGTGTGTGTGTGTGTGTATATATAGCCTGTACTTGTAGCAGCACATTCATTTATTTTGTTAGGCATTTAATTTAGAAGATGTTTGACGGCTTTGTTAGGAATGTATGACTTGGACAATAATTCAAGCCTGGTTTACATTTCCAATAATGGCTTAGTCAGTCTTATCTCGCCTAGGGACAAAAAAGGGTTACGAAATAGACCAGTCCATTGCCTGTGTCCAATATTTGTAAGCACTTGGAAATTGGGCATTGTCTTGATGAAAATACCATTGTGGACCTACCTCTTTGCCATCTAATGGTCCAGTTTGCCTTAGCCCCACACCAGGCTAGCTATTCTCAGCAGTAGTTTAGTGTTAAAGCATATCTCTGGCATATATGAACGTTTCCTCATAATTTATCCTTTTAAACACACTGCAAGTACATAAAAAATAACTGTTGATGTGCCAGAAATATAGTGAGCATGTGTCAGCCCTGACTACTACATTTCTGATGGATTACAAAGAACACAGACCCCTCTTTATCACCTCCCCTCCCATCTCCATATCCCCTCCTTTTTCTCAGGCATAAAGCACAGGAAGTTATCAGCTCACAAGATTTCTCGCAAAATCAACAGGTCTTTTTTGTACCTATTGGACAGATATAACAAAATTCCAGAAAAACAAATCACATTAACCGCACTCAGCAGACCAAAGCTCGGTACTCTTCCACAATCATCTCAACCAGTCACTTGAGGAAAAGCTCCCATCCACAAGGCTACTGGGATGTATCCTCATAAGCCATGCAAAAAGCACAAACAAAGAAGATAGCGCCCTTTCCTTGTGTGAGGTTTATTTTTTTTAAAACAAAATTTTCTTGAAGAATAAAAAACTGCTCAAATGTACACAGTGGAAATAAGCGGTATCATCCAGGACAGCTGATGTGTTTTGGGGAAGATCCCCCTTCTTCAAAGCAGGTATAACAAAACGCTCACACTCAAGATTCACATAATCTTTATCCAAGATTCACATATTTTCATAATTGGAAAAATATGTGAGACCTGGATGAAAGTTTTGTGAATCTCACATGAAAACATTTATAGTCGCTCAAATCCTTACGCATGCCCATTTTTTTCTGCTTACAACACCTCAACTTCGAGGACAAAATGTTTACTTGCTGCGTAATATATCCCCCCCACTTCCAGGTGCCATTGTAAAGAGATAATCATTGTTATTCACTTTAACTGTCAGTGGTCATAATGTTATGGCTGATTGGTGTATGAAGTCACATAGATGAGTAAAAATGTTACTTTTATATGTATTATAATATAAACAGTCCAAGGAAACTAAAGAGGTATTATTTTAAAAAAATAGAGGTTCTGATTGTTTCTGATAAAAAGTTGCTAAATGTTCTGTCCTCCAGGTCCCTGCTATTCTGTGCTACCTGCATACATTTTGTGTCTTAGACATCGTGTTGTTACAGATTTCTATCACACTTCGCATGACATTTTTCCTATTTCTACTGTCTAACCTCTATTGTGTTTCTTCTACATTAGTTACATGTTGAAGACACTGGTGAAATGTTACCCAAGTCCCGACGTGCACTCACTATTCATGAAATTACGGCCCTTGCTCGCTCCTCTCTGCATGGTGAGTTTAATCAAAAATGTCACATACTTAAGACTTTTTTCAATGGACGTATCAGTAGATTGTATAGAGAGTCACGGATGTTCCTTCATGAACCTTGTAACTTTCACGTTTATTCACTTTTATATGGGTATGAAATAACAAACAGTGCAAAAAGCACTGATAATGTCCAAGGTTCAGTAAACCATAGCAACCAATTAGATTGTATCTTTGATTCCCTGCCAAAAGGGAAGGAGATGATTTCTAGATGGTTGCTTTTGATTCATATTGAACATAACTCTTTCCCTTATCCAGTGGAATCTGTCATGAAGCCATCTTATCGGTATCTGATACAAACAGTTAAATGGGCTCATGAAGTTTAAATAGACTCAAGGGGATACATAGACTCATAGATAACACTGAGAAACAGGATGATCCTAAAGACAACACGTTCCAGCTGCAGTTTTATGACTTATTGTAACTGCTGATAGAAAAATTAGACACCTACCTGCAAAATTACTGTTAAGGGAGCAGATTGGAGCGCTGCACCATGGAGATGGTTGTTAAGGAACAAGGCAGTGTATATTTATTTCTTACTTGATCTGAGGAGGAATAAAATCATATGCAAGGTTACAAAAAGAAAAGAAAGAAATACAATTTTTTGCACTTTCCTTAACCTGGCCAAGGTTAAATGGATATTAAAACTAACCTAAAATCCACTTTTATGTTTAGTCATTTCCATTTCTCCCTTGCTGTTCCCTGATGGATTTTTCAGCCTCCTCTAAGTACTAGCTATGGTGGGTGTTGAAATATTTGTGCCATAGAAGCAGAGGCAGCAAGTCAGTGCCTCATCCACCTGTGAGCAGCAAGGGCTCAATGCATGTGTCAAGTAAAGCTGACGTGAAAGTAGTATGTAGGCTTCCATTGCATACCTCCTGCTAAAAATGTTAGTTGCTTGGCCGTTCAGCTAATTCTGTGGCTTCAGTAGTTTTTGAATCACAGACTACCACTGATTTTATGTACTGTATACGTGTTTCCGGTCACTTACCTGTACTGAAAATACTAAAGCTATATAATTAGCCACGCACCCAGCATTTTCTAAGGAGAAGAGCAATGACAGCCTTCTGGAAATAAATCTTGCAGAAAAAAATTCTGATTGGTAGACTTCTATGGGAGAAGAGACCATGTAGGTCTCTTCTGCCGTAATAGCTTATTTTTACCTGCCAGCAATTCTTTTTTTCTGCACGCTGAGCTGTGCATGCGCAGCTTAGTGCACAGACCTGGCACGCCGAGATGACGTAACTCCCGGGCGCATGTGCTGGAGTTACGTCATCAGGGCCTAGCCAATCAAGCAGCCGAAGAAGACTGGGGAGATGATGGAAGAGCGAGGCGAGGGAGTAGCCCCGCACTGGAGTGGATCACCATAATGTGCGAATACTGTAATGCTGTGAATACTAGCCCATTATAGCTAAAATTCAGACGGGGCTTCTTTTTTTTATAATTGCCTTTACTTCAACTTTAAGCAGAAAATATATATATTAGAAATCAGTTCAGTTGTTATTGAATGGGACATGCATGTTACAAGGGCACACAATTGCCTGACCTTAAAAACACACAGCTAAATAGTTGCAAACAGTTGTACACAAACACAATTACACAGCGGCATATCATTAAACATACAGACACCTGTGTCCTTTGTCTTCTCTTCGTGTGACAGGAATCTCACAGGTGGTGAAGGATCATGTGACCAAGCCTACAGCCATGGCTCAGGGACGTGTGGCTCATCTGATCGAGTGGAAGGGCTGGAGCAAACCCAGCGACTCTCCGGCTGCACTGGAGACTCACTTCAATTCATACTCACACTTAAGTGAGGGAGAACAGGAGGCCAGGTTTGCTGCAGGTGAGAAAACATCAGAACTAATGGATGAAGAAGCATAAATATGAACCTTCAACTTACTTTCTTTCTCATTGCTGTTCTTGTCTTCTTTCTCTCTTGTCCTCTCTCTCTCTCTATTTTATCTTTTTTCTCCTGATGGTTCTGGATGTGCTCATACTGCAATGCTTTTGCTGTGCATTTCATTGGAGTATCCTCCTACTGCTATTTCCCTTCTTTTATGCTGTGCTGATTGTTTTTTTTTTTTTGTTAAATAAATAACATGCTTTGATTCTTCCCACAATCCTCTGCAACCACCATATCTTTATTTTTGGCCATGTTGTTGCACAATATTTTTGTTTACCATTTTCTTTTTACAACGGTATGCTACTTATTTTGTTTTTCTTATTTCTCATATTTGTCTTGCCATCTTCAAATGCTTCCCACTAAATACAAAACATATGCACCTTTCCACTGTCTTTGTTTGCTGGGTTCTTGCTTTCTCAATCATGCACTACTGCGGTTCTGCTGCTGTTTGTCCATTCTTGCTGCTGTTTCTGTTCCTATTTTCTGTCCACTTTTTGTACATTACCAGGCGTAGCTGAGCAGTTTGCTATAGCAGAAGCTAAACTCCGTGCCTGGTCATCAATTGATGGAGAGGATTCCACAGATGATTCATATGAGGAGGATCTGCAGCCCTCTATGGACCATTCTCAACCTGCAGGTGGGTAACGGCACAACCACATATCTAAATATACAAAATCCAATATTCAAATAATAACTAGCGTCTATATAGAATAGGCACATATCTACCAAGTGAATAAGATGAGTCTCCTCTGTACAAGAAGATAAGTTCTCCAAAATGTCATCTACATCAGAGTACTTTATAGTTGACTTGCCCTAGTTATATGATTTATACTGATAGCCACATTAATTATTTTTATGTCAGCAAAAGTGATTTTTTTGTGATTTTGCCTTTTTCACACCTCAAAGCATTGAGCTGGCAGTAAATCACAATGCAAGAAACAGTGGGTGATAGCTTTACATTCAGGGGGTGCTACTTTTGGTCATTTAGGCCCACCTGTTTTGAAGGATTAAATTACGGTCTTCAAACTGATAACCATATATTTTACATTATTTAAGGTGGAACGCCATGCAAACAGATACGTGTTGTTGAAATGCATATATGTAATTCTGCTCATCTAGTCATGTGATTTAGACCGCTCCGCCACGCTGCTAAGTAGAGCGCTATTCTTGTGTAAGTTTTAAAGCATCTTGTGTTCCCTGGCTGCTTGGGAACAGATGATGATGATACTAATTCATCAACCAGTGTACAGCCTGGAGGTGAAGAGATGGCACTGGATGCTGCAAATCCTAACCAAGAAATAGGGTTGTCACCTGTTTAGCTCTACAGTGTAGTAAAGGAAATAAGTGGCTCAATGGAATTACAAATATTTTGATAAGGAAACAGTTACCATACTATATATATGTATTCCAAATGTCTATTTAGTGTATTTATATTGTTTGTAGTTTCACTTTATTACAAACTATTATGTAGTAATTGACCCTCAACACTAGGCATTATTAGCTTGTTTTTCAGCAGGAGAAATTTTGATTACATGGATTGTATTATGTATTCAGCTTTGGTTACTCAGCCCAGCATAAACATTAGCTCCTAAGTATTTGCTGTTGCATGTCCATGTAAAAATATTTATGGCAAAATTAGTTACATTTTTTTTTTTTTTTGGCTAAACCACATATGAAAGCAGTCATCTGTTGTTTCTTATATATAAAAAGGACAGCACGCACCAACTCGGTAAAGCACTGTGTGACTTTATTTTTAAAATAGTGAAAAACACTTGTACTTGAATAAAGATAATTTGTAAGCATGTATGTGGCTGTCGTGAACAGCAGTAGAATTCCCGATGTTCTGCCACAGTCTTCTCTGGCAAGGCCAGCTCTGGTGAAGCCAGTCTGTCATCCTTGAAACTCTCAGTGCTCATTGCCTACTACAATTATCTTTGTTGCTAAACAACACATTTTCCCAGGATGCCAGAACGGTGTCCTGCCAGAGGAGAATGCAACAGTATATTATGAGCCCTGTTCCTGGGATGTTCAGGTGAGCTTCCACCAGTTTTCCCTTCATTGCACCAAGGAACAGCCTTACTTACCAAGGCTTTTTTTTTTTTATGGACTGCAACAAATATTTAAACAGTTTTAAAAATAAATGTTACAGTGCTAAACCAGGTTCATTGGTCCTGTTCTCTTCTGATGTTGTGCTTGTCTTATTCATCTACTAAAGATACTTTAGACATTCTAACCAACATCTTGGCTACCTTTGCTATCCCTGATTAGATTGTATTTTATTTACATTTTTACCTCATCTTCTACTGTATGCTTTTATCAGGTATTTAAAAGTATATGCACTTGTGTTAATTTGTTTACTGAGAGAGCATAGAGCACTAGAATTCATTAAAGCTTCTAGTGTCTTTTCTGATAAGTGAGTGAAGGCAATTTTTCATTCCTCTAGATTTTCTAAGTCCTGTGCAGAAGGATCTGGTGTCATCCCGTGTATGCTGCTGTGACAGTGACTCCTCACGTACTCTGTCTCCTGAAACCCTGTGCTCCAGCCTGTGCAGCCTAGATGAAGAACAGCTGCTCTTGGGGTCTCCAACACAGCTGGTTGAAGAGTCTTTGCTCATCAAACCTCAGTCAGTTCTAGGTCCCTATGATCGCCTTCAAGATCTGGAATGTGAGGACTCTTCATATTCCATGTCCTTCTCTGAGTCTTGTTTAAGCCCCAGTGAGGACGAGCTAATTTCCTTCCCTCCAATAAGTCGAGGGTCAGGGATGCTCTCTTTGCGTAGAAAGGGCTCAGATGTGGTGTCCTCTGGGGTTGTATCTCTAGACGAAGATGAAGAAGACCAACCCTGACCTGAAATCATGCTGCTCCTCTTGCAACTGCCGTTAGGTATCATCCCATATTTTTCTGATTACGATAATTCTTTATTTCAAAAATCATGGACTAATCAGAGGGCATTAACTCACCTAATCATTACTTTTCTTTCGAAAATAATTTGATTTGGATGTTTATTTATAAGTAATATTCTGTTTCTCTTTATAGTGACTTTTCCCTTCAATTTCCTATTTATTTTCACGATCTTGTGTCTTTAATTTAATTCATTACCTTTCTCACTTTTTTCTTTTCAAACAACTTAATTGCCTGTTTGACATGTCTTAAGCATTTGGTCTGTTTTGCATGACCCTTGCCCTATGGTACCACTCTTGCTCAGTGGAGGGCCTTTAAGCTGTTGTCTGCATGTCTTGCACCCCACTTAATGCCACCGCTCAGAGATTCCACCTCCAGCCCAGCTGTTGGCGGTGGAGTTCCCATTTGGGGACAGTGGCAACATGGCTTGTCCCTGTTATTTTTTTTTAATCTGTTTCCAGTTCTGTGGTTCCCTATGCTCCACAGATTCCAGGCAGCAGATGAGATGAACATTGGGTATGTTATGGATTCTGTGATATTAGTACAGCTTCAGGACTGTAAAAGGACTTGTGGAGCTCCAGTGACACTGTGGGGGACCCTACTCCATGGGGGCTCTGCGGGAGCATGCTTTGTGCAGGGGAGACCCTTCTTTTCTAGCGTTTTGTACGTGTCTGTTTGCTGCTCTTGGAAGGTCTTGTGCGGTAACATCGAAAGTTTGTAACTCATTTTCCTGCGTCTATGACTTGACCAGCTGTGTATATATATAAAGATATATAAAAAGCAAAATGTGTACATTATTACACTGAACTGAGATAACTCTTTGGTAATAAGAGTCAGAGCCTGTTATGAAGATCATGGATTAATGTATGTCTAAAAGGTACATATACTGGCACATGCTTCACTGATCAATAATGTGTTCTATTCAACTTTCCAAGGTGTATTATTATCACCTGTTGGTTGACATAAGGGCATGAGTGTTTTATTTCCCTTCTCCCAATTGATTAGTTTGCAGGAAAATACCTAATTGGTGAAAAGGAGAATTTTATTTTTTTCTAATGTATTGGATGTAGGCATCACCAAGTTTGTTTTACTTGACTGTTTAATCCCTGCATCACCCTAAAACATATTTTGCCTCCTTTACTTTGGAATTGAGTTATTTTCCAATATTGCAGATTTTATGAGACTATTTATAAAAGAAGTGTTAGGTTAGAGAAATGTGCATATTTTGAGATCCCCAGCTATCTTAACAAATTCACCGTTTTACAAGCTTTTTCAAAAGCAGCCAGCTGGCACACTGAAAAAATAGTAAACTACTCTATGAAAATTTATGAAAAAGGGTGGATCATTTTTGGAAGGAAAAAGAGAGAAATGGACCAACACCGGCAAACTTGGAGGAAGGAAAAAAGGTTTGTCTTGCACTTAACTTCTTTCATTTCAGTAAACTAGCAATGCAGATGATTTTACTCAATTCAATGTGGCCGACTTCAGTGTATTGTTACAAAGTGTAAAAAGTCAGAAACTTGAAAAAGGAGAATTGACACACTGTTCTGCTGAACAAATCTTCAAAACATGCATTTATAAGTAGGATTTTAAAAATTGCCACAAACAGACAAGATTACTCGCAATGTCCTCATCAACATTAGCAAAATATGTTTAGTCCATGCTGCAACTAATATTTGAACATGACTCCCCGTGTCTTTTCTATACTAGTTACAGAAAAGTAATTTGTAACATGTATAATTTACATTTATGGATATTTAGGGGTCTATCCACTAAGCTGCCGTAGGCAGCCGAGTGACTAACCGACCCGCAGCGAAGTGAGTCGAACGCTGTTTGGCTATTCACTTCAGGCTTGTACGGCTGATTCCAGCCGTATATCCGCTAAAATCAGCCGTAAATCGGGTGGCATCGGCTGGCTTCGGATCGGCCAAACAGGCTCAGCCTGTTCGACCGACCCGAAGTGCAGAAAGAGTTTGACTCAGCCGATCCAACATCTGGATCGTCTAAGCCGAACCTCCAGCAGGCTACTCGCTGCTGTTCGGTCTATTCTCATAGATGCCGAACAGCAGTGAGTGAATAGCCAAATGCCGCCGAGCGGCATTCGGCTCGGCTATTTTGATCGGTACCTCTGTGGTACCGAGCAGAATACAAAAACTGTTAAAAAAGTAGAAAAGATAAAATAAAAAATGATTGGGCGGAGCTAGCAGTGACAGCTAGCTCCGCCCAACTGTTTTCTATTGGCAGGGCGGTTCTGGTGCCGTCAGAATAAAAAAAAAAAACACCAAACGTGGTAACCAGGGACGCTGATCTGTCTGTGCAAGTGGCCGGAGCCAGCCGTGAGATGACGGCTGGCTCCGGCCAGCAGTCAGTAGCAGACTGTCGGCCGGCCATTCGGCCAGCTTTGGCTTTCACCCCGGCTCAGTCGAGCCGAAGTATATGCCTTTGGCTCGACTGAGCCGCTCGGCCGACTTCGGCAGCTGTACGGCTATAGTGAATAGCCCGAAGGGGTCCTGGGCCGAAGCTACGGCTCGATTCTTCGGCAGCTTAGTGAATAGACCCCTTAGGCTAGAGGTGTTGCTTACCTATTTACATTTAGGCACACGATTGATGTTGCTGAATTACTTCTATTTAGGTATTAGTAATAGGTCATATTTGAATTTTTAGTTAATGATGTGATCTCACTATCGCTCCTTTTGTATAATTTCTGACTCTACAGTACCCTTCTAATGTAGAAATTATCAGAAATCATATTCTCTTATGATAGACACACTTTCCAGTTTACCATTTCAAACATTTAGTGATTTGAACTTCATCAGTCAGACTTGCCTATAAATAAAATGTTCTGCAGCAGGCATTATAGAGTGTTTTGAGTGGAGTTTTGGTCACATAGGCAACTCAATTTGATGATTAGTCTTATAGAAGTTGAAAGCAATGTATAAAAGACATGGTACTGGTGTATCATAAGCTTTAAATATCCAACTATTCCAGTACTAGTAACCTCTTGTTTTTCCACTAACATTTTCTAGGAGCTATAATAGGGAACATTTTCTTAGTGACTAATGATCAGCATTTATATCAGGCACCTGTGTAATTCATGCTCTGCAAGTAAGATTCTGATCCTTTCATGATTTTTCAATGTCACAGCAGAATTAGTTACATCAAGACAGGTGTCACATTTACCTCATCCCTAACACGGGGTCGAGTGTTCTCGCCACCTTGTATCTAATTAGAATTCAGGCACTACTTTAAAGAGCTCACTACGCCAAAGCAGTGTTCCCACCCCCGTGCCTTCGATGTGTGCCGTGCTTACAGTTACTGTGGCCCTTGTGTACTCCAATGACCCCTGCTGTCTTGTGCCTTCAGTGGCCCCCGCACTCAAGTGCCTGCAGGGACTCTGTGACCCCTGTGAACTCTTGTGACCTGTGCATTCAGTGACTCTGTGTCACCCTGTGACCCCATAGAATCCTGCCTTATGCAGTGACCTTGGAGCATCGTGTGTCATCCTGTGACCCCACTGTGCCCTGAGAAACTTTCTGATGCCTGTGTCCCCATGCTGCCTCAGATATGCTTCTGCATTTCCTGGACTGTCTCTTACTCTGTGGATAAAGACCCCAGTCTTTATCCACACGTTACAGCTTATGCAAAGTAAAACATGTCCAAAGTACCTGCCGCCTACTGATCCCACCAAGCTTCCTCTCAAAGACTTGATGTTCAGGAAGCCTGTCAAGTCCAGATGATTTGTGATTTCTATTCCCAACTACAGGCTTCTCCCACTCCTGCTACCGACCTTTTACGTGACCCTCCAGTGCAGCCGTCTGTTTTCTTTGTGACCTCCATGTTTTATATCTGGTCACCTGTATGCTTCTCTAGAGATCCCAAAAGTTGCCACGGGTTCATAAACCAGTGTGTTATTGACCTTGAGCTACAGTTTCAGAACTTCCCAATGGACCATGCAAAAAAGGCCTGTGTAATTTTCCTGATTTCTGGGGAAGCCTTGGCCTGGGCATCTCTATTCTTGGAAAAAGAGATCCTGTGACCAACAACATTGCTGCTTTTCTAGTTCTCTTTCGTAGAATCTCTGATAAACCTACTCAAGCCTCTTCTGCAGCAAGTGTTCCTCCAATGCTTATGCCAAGGTTTGCTCACAGTGGGACAGTATGCAATCAAGTTTTGAACTCTTACAGCTGAACTCTTCTGTAATAATAAGCCCCCCACAGTAATTTTCTAGCAGGGTTTTCCAAGTGTATTAAAGACAAACAGGCTGGATGAAAAATCCCTAAAAGGTTTGATGACCTGGTCATCTCAGCCATGCAAGTAGGCATTCGATATCAAGCGGTCTCACATGCTGAAGCTTTTTTTCTCCTTGTCTGGTATCAACTTTCCAGCGCCATCATGCTGCTTACACCCTCAGGTTTTCCTCCCCAGGAGGAGCCTATAAAATTTGGTCACTCACCACTATAACACGAAGAATGGACCTAATGTTAGTCACAAGGCCCATACATTTACTGTGGACAAAAAGGACGCTTTATTAAGCCTTGTCCAGGGCACCAGGGAAACTCAAACATGTAGTATGCCTGGAGGGGGCAGTGCGGAACCACTTTTTGCACCCCTCTTCCCAAAGTAACACGATTCCTGTACAGCTGCGTCATAACAAGACCACTGTCTTCTTGGAAACCTTCCTAGATTGGGGTGCAGCTTGTTTCTGTGTCTCTCATAATAAAGTTTGTCTGGTACCTCAAGCCACTTTTCAATTCACACAGCATTATCATTTTCTGTGGACTTATCTGATTTTGAACTATATCTGTTAAAGTGTCTGTTGGTGTTCTACCCTAAGAGACCATGTCTTAAGTTCCTCTTTTTGCCACAAGCCACTTCTATGCTTATCCTGGGTCTTCTCTAGTTCCAACAAAATTTTCTATTGCTAGATTTGTTATCCTGTCAAACCCCATGACTCCGCAAAATCTTACCAGCTAAGTCTACGAGCTATCTCCAGAGCCAGTGCAAGGATTTTGGCCTACACAGGCGAAAGTGCATTTTTGCACCCACAGGCGGCTTTCTATCCAGCTTTAGGCTAGTGTCAGCCCTGACTAAATTGCTTAGTCTACCCCAAAACCCCAGTTAAAAAAACAATAATCATCTTCTAGTCCACAGAGCGGCAGGAGGACTTACTGTGAAAAGCTCCTCAGACCGCACATGACTCTAAAGTCAGCAGCACAGGGGCGGGGGTGGACATTACACCAGCTGGATCACTACGTCTGCTTGTCTGCAGCGACGGTGCTACCATTTTTCCGCCCCCTCCACCAGAGCCCTCAGGCAGGCGCTTGAGCTGCTTGTGCAGTAGCACCGGCACTGGCAATCTCTGAGGTCACCTCTCCCATTCCGGCTCATTGTGCAGATTACCAAGATGTTTACTGTTTACTCCAAATGCAAGGAAGGTCAGTTACCACCTAATTGTCCTTATGATTGCACCATCATCATATTTCTGGGATGCACTCTCCCTAGTGGATGGGTATATTCTTTTATTCTAGTAGAGACAAAGACCAAGTGGGAATACATGACTGGGAATCTCCAAAAAAGCTTTATCTGTAAATCCTCTTCTCCTGCTGGCACAGGCTTCTTTGTTAAAAAAAAAACCCAACCCCACAGACTTCATGCCTGCTCCAACTAGCAAGGCCTCTCTGACAATGGACTCTGCTAAAACCGAAAAATGTCATTTCCACAAGTGCCTTTCCTGGCTACAGTGTCTATAAACAAGGTCGTTCCATGAACTCTGAGAAAGTTGCTGC